ACCTCTTTTAAAATATCGTATCACAGAATCGAGGTGCATGCCAGCAAGCGATTCAGTCTAATTTCGTTTGTTCTGCATACGATAAAGGCTATCAAATATAATTATTTACTCGTACAAATTTATTTTGATAACTTGATAATATAAAGCAAATAAACAGGTTGTCCATTACCTGCGACAGTTTACTCAGATAAAACATCATATTTTGCATCAATAGAGCCAGCTAAGAAGCCGGCTCCAAAATATATCGAGTGGCGGAATTATGGGGATTCGCACGCGTTTCTCGAATATCGTGATGATCTTTATATTTGGCGATTCATAAGTTATGTATTGTAAAGCACGGCATGTTAATGCAGCTTACGTGGTGCAATACAAACATTTTTGGAAATAAGGGAACCTGTTGTAATGAGTTCAATAAGAAGAGATCCCGTTCCAAATTTTGAATCTCTCCAATGACTGTTGTTAGTGAGTTCGATACAAAAAAGAATTTGTTTTTAAACATTTTTAATCTCACCACTGATTATTTCTGTTATTTGTCTTCTAATAAACAGCTCCAGAAGGCGATCCAGATATAATTCCAGCAGGAGCAGATCAATCTAAGTTTAAAACTAGATGGTACGTTGACTGTAAAGATCAAAAATATAGAACCAATAATTTATGGAGTGAATTTCCGGATCCTGGATACCCGAATGGATTGAGAGTGAGTCGAGTATCTTTGGGGATAATACTAATTTGGGGGTAATCGGGGTAAATACTCCCAAAAAGTCACTTTGATATTTTTATGGGGTTTGTCCTTTTTGCTGACTCGCTATAAAGCTATAGTTGGATCTAGTATATGAACATTGTTACGTCTTAATTTAGTCGGTTGCACGGCTAGCAAAAACGTAATACCAAAGTTTAATTTTTTTTAATGCCATTCATCTCATTGCTGTGAAATATGGTTCACACGCAAAACGTCATCCATTAAAACAAAATATCAAAATAAGCTCATGATTGACGATGATATGAGATTGTCTCTGTCATACACTTTGTCGAGGATTTAGAGTTTGAAATCGCAGAAACATTACTACCCTTCTCACAGAGATTAAATCAGGACATTGTTGTTGTTGTTATTGAATTTGATATATTGCGCGCGCTGAAAACTTTATACATTTATGAAAAGGATATTTGAGCTAATAGTTTCCGATTTAGGGGTAAATATATTAAAAAGTTTCGGAATCACTGATATAAAGGCTCGGTTTTGGTGCTTTTCAAACATTGTTTACTGGTTAACGTCAGTTATGGTGTTGATATTTGTCTTTTTTATTTATATCGGATATGAAATTCAAGACTACTGTTATTTTATTTTGCTATATGTATTACGGGAACATACTAAGAAAAATTACCATTTATAAAATAGGATAAAATTTGAATTTGCGTAACTATTGCGTTGTCTCTGTGTTCAAGATTTTGTTTTTATCGGATATAATTGGTGTGGCAAGCAGCACAGCAATTTGTGCAGGGTCTGCCATTAAATGATATTTTTGTAGCCCCCACCATTATTCGAGAACTATTATAATGGCCTCAACAAAAAAGGAATTTGCTGATACAATATATAAGTTCTTAAAATATGTCAAATACCATTTTTTCATATGCTTTTTAAATTAGATACTGGAATCGTGAATTCAGCACTTTTTATGATTTCCCAATTCAATTTCATTTTTTGTGATAAAATAAAGATTTTTTTTTATCTTTCCATAACTTTTAAAAAGTCCAAAGATTTTCCTGTAATGCTCATCTATTCAATATGGCTGAATATCAAAAAGAATATGGGTTCTATGCACTTCAATTCAAGGCATTCAATGAGCAGGGCGTACAAACAATAGTCGTTTTGTGTTCAATAGAACTTCAGTGACAACAATTTGTATTTTTAGATGCCACGAGTTGATTTCTACGATGCCGCAGACTTTACATGTACAGTAAAATACGAAGGAAAAACATTGTATGCTGTTACATACGCACAATGTATAAAGCGTAAGTTGATCAATACCAAATTACGTTTTTATACGTATAGTTTGCTCTTTCCCGGTGCGGCGATCATAAATTTCTTTTTTTAGCTTCTTTCTGAATACTCAGCAGTTTTCAAGTCAAACAAACCTGTCATGCAAATTTCGAATATAAAACGATTTCCTCTTCATTATTATATTTATATCATTTTGATGTAAATTTGTCTTTTTAAACATTTCTACGAAATATTATATTATTTTGAATTCTTAATTCGAAACAGCTTCTCTTTGCTTTGCTCTGACAATATAGGCCTATAGAGCTAGGCAACAGCTCAGCGAAAGTCTGGTGGGACGTGAAAATTTGATATTATTATGTACATGTTAGTTGAAACTAGATCCACACTGAACTTTTTTATCATAAAGAATAAAGTGAAGCTTTACGACTTTTTCCCTTTGTTATATGTGTTTCATATTATATATGATGTCATAGAGATAGGCCCAGAACCGGATGAACACGTTTATCAAAATTCTCGAACTTCGAAATTTAGTAAGATGATGTGAATGTTTTAAGTTAGTTGTATCCAAAGATACATTGAATCTTCTCATCCTGATGTATAGTTTGATACGATTTTTCACTTGCTATAAGTCATTGTAACATTCTAAATTCTTCAGAGCGCACCAAATCCATCAATCCTACAATCACCTGTACCAATGACGAGACTGAGCCACTTGGTGATACTGCTGTACTTGATTGCACCGGACAGATAGTATTGGGAACCACGCCCTCAGAACATTTTGCAGTACAATGGAAACGGGTATGTTGTTGTTTTTCTGATCTTTTCCAGCATTTTTGCTAAATTTTTCTTTTGGTCAATTTCGGAACTCCCTTCAGCATGTAAAAAATCTTTTTCCGTTTGTTTCCCGATATTTGATATTATATTAGCAATTTATGAGTGCATTCAGGGTTTTGTATAGTTTATTTAAATAGTGTTGGGTGAATAATTATCACAGTAATGTTCAATAAATAAAGAATATTATTATTACTACATTAAAAAACAGTGTAATACACCTACTTCTTAAAAAATAAACTCATTGGGGCGATTCCTCCCTCAGTTGGAAACTCTGCTTGTGACTACTCCAGCAATTTAGCTACCTTTTCTCGTAGAAAATTAACAATTTGGAAGAGTATGCTCTTGTTTTTTTTTACAAATCAGCATTGGAAGTATTATATTATGAAGAAGGTTACTATTAATAGTGATGAGATATCAATTGTTAGAACGGGTTCTTCTTTACATTCTCACTAATTCAGAAAATGTTTGTATTTCACCACGTAAGCTAATGATACATTTTTACACAAATCCAATACATTCCCTTCGAAACGTCATATATAACGCTAGTCATCAGCTGTGATGCACTTACCCATTATCTGCGGTCGTCCAACACAAAAATCAAATTACAACATTTCAAGAACAGGCTTCCTCGAATCTATCCAATGGACAATGGTACTATAACTTTATGTGTGTATCAATAGTATTTTGCCAATATAGTACTTAAATTTAACTAATTTTCATTTTAATATTCAGAACGGTGATAAAATTTGCGAAAATAATTTTTTCGACCAGACAAGTTTTGGAGTCTTTGACCAAAGACAATCATGCATCGTGTAAGTAAATTTCCATATTCAAATCATATTTGTGAAGCTTCATTTTGTCATTGGGCACGAAGTGGTCCTATGAATTGGTGTTGTTAGTATTCTTCTTCTTGGTATCTTCGTTGTTGTAGGAAAATATCTCCAACTACTCGACCAATTGCAATAGAATTTTCATCTTTTTGTTGTCGCTAGAAGAACATTTATTTTAAATATTTCTGTGGGCTCTATGGTGTTTTCACTTTGACATCATTTTTCATATTGCTATGGCTGCTATTGTTACGTAGACCCACTGAAATAAAATAATATTGTGATGCATAATTGTTCCTTCCCAGCGAAAAAACTTCTAATTACCAGCAATGCGTTTAGTGGTAATTTAACTGATAATTTCTATGTTAGCTCTATATGTCATTTTAAGCTTTTTATATTGGGCCTCTTAAAATAATTTACTATTAAAAATTAATTTATATAACCTTTAGCTAAATTACCATTGGTTAATTATATTTACCAGGGAAGGCAACAATGACTCTGTTGTTTGTGTCGTTGACGGTGCAAATACGAAGGGTGAAGAAATACAACACGAAAGAAAGACAGTCGATATAAAACTCAATATTCGGTAAATACTATTCGTATTTATATCATTTCTATTAATTTATGTGAAAAAACAAAACAAAACAAAAAACAACAACATTGGCATCAGATTATCTTCAAATTATAATTAACACGACGTGTGCTTTGTAACAAAAGCGTGCAACCTGCGGCCCGCGCGCCAAATGCGACCCACAAGGAAAAATTGTGCGGCACGAGGACAAGTGCCAAATTTGAATGGTGTACGGCCCGCGAGACGAGTTTTAATTTAGTACGTGCTGGAAGTTATTCCAATCCCTTTGCATTGCAAGGATATACTTTTTTGCGAATCGAACAGCGCATGTCATAACATCAATAACCGTTTTTAGCCTGTAATTACTAGAAAGCCGATGTTGAATACAAGTGGACCGCGGTTTCAACCAGTTACACAACTCTGCTCTATAACGTTCGCTTAGCATCACTCTTGCTCTTTTTTCGTATTTCGTATTTTCACATTTTTATTCCATAACTTGGTTTCTACAAGCAGTTTTGGATGGATATGCATCAATTATTTTTATTATTCATATGTTATATGATAAATAGCACATTACTACTAGACATACATTACATTTTAAATGCGGTTCAATATCATTTCAATTATTGCTGCACACTATAACAAATGTATTTCTGTAACATCTTCAGACGAGCACATTTCTACCGTTGTTTTTACGAAATTTATTCCAAATGATTCATTTCTATTTTTTTAACAACAGAGACCTGAAAAGCAACGATATGGGCCAATATACTGTCAACTTGGGTTATTTCGATATATCATCTAACTCGTGGAAGATGGATGAGTGGGATGTGCAACTAAATGTGGACAATACGTCACGACTACTTCGACTCATCATGATTCTTAGTATATGCCTGGGTGTGCTGGATGTGCTGGTCCTGCTTTATAAAAGATTTGAGATCTACATTCTTGTTGCGTACAAGAGATCATGGCTATGGAAATATGATAGAGGTAAATTCAACCGCTTTGTTCTCATTTTTTGTACTTTATTAAAAATGATTTATAGAATATAATATTTTCTATATGGTCTTCGAGATATTTTAGCAGTGTTCCTCATTTTGATAGTAATAGAGATTCACACAATAGTCTCGTTAATCTACATAATATGATTTCGAATATATTTTATTGATTTGCCTGAAAGATGCGAAATCCCAAATCCTAAAACTAACTGGTTAATTTTAACAATAAATATGTTGTCTCGAACGCGAATAAACAAGCTACTTTCTGTTTGCAATATTTTTACATCAAATGCGTGAGAATCTCATGAGTGTGAATCTCATAGACGCTTAAACTTTTCCTGTGAACCACGGGGTTCAGGGAACTCTAGCTAGCCTCCATAGCTCGAAAAGTTCTTCTAATTTTTTTGAATAATTCATATCATCGGAGTCAATGTAACCATCTTCATAAACATTTTAGAGAAAGTCGATTTTCGATTGCTATCGAGATTAACAACTGAAAATAATAAAAAAAATAAAAATCGAAAATCTTATATAGTTTATGGCGTTTTTTGTACATATTTTCAAAACAAATTTGCAGTAGAAACTCCTAAATGAAACGCCTCTTTCGCAGACCTAGTTACTATACATTATTACTTATCGATTTTAATCGTTCGATTTTAATAGGTATTTGTCTGTATGTCTGTCTGTCTGTTAGATGCACGCGATATCTCACGAAAGCGAGATTGAATCTGCTCCAGATTTTGCATGTGCATTCATCATATGTCGGACCAAAAGTCTATTGATTTTGGATGAATTATGTCGTATAATTAGCGAGTTATTAATTAATTAGTGATGGGACACAAGCTGTCACCATGGAGTAAGAGCGCTTTTTGGGGGGATCCCCTAACTTTCGATAGATAGGTCTTCGGTCTCTGACCGATATTCTCGTTACTTATCGATCTTAAGATCGGTAGATCAGGGTTGGCGCTACATGTATATTTTTGACTGTAAATGTATATCACGTTACCAACCCCACTCAATTGTAATGGCAATTTATGAAACATCTATTTTATGTATTTCAACAGACGACAAGCAATATGTCTGCTATCTTTCATATCTATATGATACTGACACACTTTCTGATAAAAGTCTCAAAGCTACATCCACCGTCGTATACGCTATTCAGAACCTGTTGGAAGATTTGAATTATACATACTATGACGAACAAGGGCAGATTGATTTTACAGGTAATGTATTAATATTTCTATTACTTGTATTAGTAATTTCATTTTCGTTTTCTAATTTCATTCAAAAATATACTTAATTGGCGAACTTTTCCATTTGGAATTGTCTGATTGTTGCAGCGAATAATATTTAACTTGTAAGTTATATATTGATATGGAGCTTATTGTGGATACAATATTGAAATGAGTTGTCAGTATTTTGAGCTCAGAATGTGAAGATTGCGTTTATGTTTGAAACGGTAAAAATGCATAAAGTTTTTATTATTCTTGTCGCTGCGTCAAATCTTCCGTCAAAAATGTTGCACACCCCTGCCTTATACATTAGTTTATGCAGCGTTTTATGTTTGGAATTTTTGCTAAAATTATCGAAAAAATCTACGTTAGTGCAACTCATAGAAACCAATTTCGTTTTTTCAGTTCAAGTTGAAATAATCACAAACCTTGTGGAAAGATGTCACCGAATGGTTTTTGTCTTGACTCCTGAATATCTAAATGATCGCTGGATGAGATTTCACGCGGAATTGGTAAGTTTAAGATTTTCTATGAAATTTTTTGTAATTTATTTCAAGAAAACGAAAGACAAGTCTGGTAGAATAAATGTTCGATTAACAAATTAGATCTGGTATGAGAATAGTTGACCGGGCATTCACTCCAGTTTTACTTAAGCCGACGCTGACTCGGCAACGAGCTCCCGAAGCCCAATCACAAAAAGTGGTAAGGTGCTATTTACGCTAAACAGGGTGATCACGGAACTCTTACAGTTGGATATAGTTACTATTACTATTAGGGTTACTACTTTCATCAAACTTGCTGCAATCCAAATATCTTTCTGTCCCTTTTAGGTTTGCGTTTATATACATTAAGTGCTTACATAATTCAGACAATAAAAATCGATTGTAATTCTGCACAGGGATTCCTCGAGTCACTGGAATGTTTCATTTGGGTTCCACTTGCTGACCACTGGGTAGATATTAGTATAAGAATGATGCTCTCTAAAAAACATTCTAAGAACAAATGTCACAAACTTTCGATCGAAACCATTGTATTCATTATATCTTTGTTTCACAGGGTTTTCATGGACTTCTCGAGTCTCAAATGGGCCTGATATTTATTCTCACTCCGGGAACGAAGAGAGTGCTGAAGAAACTAGCAAGGACTGACAAAGTTTGGCAAAGGCTTTTGATTGCTATCAAGGTAATATATTTATCGATGTTTAAGAATTTATTTCATGTGCTTATCACGATAAAGTTAATGGTTTTTTAAAAGTTAATATTTTTTTAGATCTTTGAATTTTTTCAGATCAATTTAAAGTTAATATAATTCAAATCTAACAATATTATAAAAAATGCCTCCTAATAAAAGCATTACAACGAATTTGAAGTGATATTATTTGATGCGATACGTACTTCTACTGCGCACGAAGTTTTTGGTGCATCGAATTTAAGCTCCACGTAACGCATTACATTCTATTCCTGACATGGGCAAACTAACGCCCGCGATCCGAATCCGGCCCGTTGCGTAATTCAATCTGGCCCGCCGGATGATGCCACAACCAAACTGAAACCAAATATTGATGTTTTACTTGAAATAATAGCTCAAGGAGTTTATTGAGATTGAGATTGAGTTTAGTTTGTTTAAATTAGTATATTGTTCTCCACTTTTGCTTTTGTAACAATGTAAGTATTTTTCATAAAATGTAACTTATTACGTCACACTCACATGGCCCGCCAGTCCAGGTGGGTAACATTTTTGGCCAAAAACCTTCCCCACCCTCGGATAGTCATATATAGAATTATTGATTTAAATTGTTTATATTTATAATTCTTGAAGTTTAACAATATCAATACAGATGTGGTATCAACTCGTAATATTCTGCGTGCTAACAATCAATAATTTTCAACAGACAAACCATGTTATAAAATGGAGAAAAGCAATGAACGAAGATAAGTTGAAGAGAAACATCGAATACAGACTTCCAAAACTTGCTCGGAGAATTAAAAAATTACCTGGTTCGGATTCGAGCTCGACTGATGGTTGTAATCCAGATCTGTGAGCCAAACCACAACTCATACAATGGTGTCGGATGATGGGGCTGCACAGGGTGACTTAAGACTTTGATGTGATTCTGGACATTCCATGTAAATTGCAAACATGTATTTTTATTTACAATCTTCTAGAAAACATGTATGAAAGGGAGGGATGGGTATTTTCGAATACTTGATGATTTCAGATAAGAATTGAATCTCAAATACCCCAAGAATGTTTGAATTAATACAAAGACGTTATTATATGTCCTTCTTTATTGTAATGGGTTCATCGAGAAACCAAAATCACTTAGAATATAGTATCTATCATTCAGTCTGTTCATACTTTGCTACTTTTTATTATATCTGTTCCACTTTATCTTTTATGTGCCGTAGTTTATTAAAAATATATAGTATTTAGTATTATTTCAAATGTGAGGTTGAAAGTGTTTGAATCTAAAATCCTATTTTTTTTTCCTTTTTTCTATGAGACTGGGCACTCTAAATAAAATACTTAAGTGCTTTGCCCCCCAAAAAGCCTTAGTTTATTAGCTTGTATTGCATAGGTTCGATCATAGGTTTGGTGAAGTATCGCAAATATTAAACCATTGGTTACAAAGTATACCAAAATTTGGTTCTGAAATTACTTGTTATCCGAAATTTAATCCCGTTCTGATTATTTGTTATATTTTATGCATTAGTTAAAATGTAAAAGCTTAAACGTTGATTCTCGATTTGAAAGTTTTTTTTATTTACTGTGTTATTCAATATATTGCAGCCGCAAAACTTTGTGCGGCATCACTCGATTCTAGAAGCCATTGCAATAGTTTTAACTCTTTTTTTATTATATGTTCTCTGAGGAACTACGCGATAAATGATTTATATTTACAGGGGGTGAGGAGCCGATTTCCATTAATTTTCTCATTATTATGAAAGATTTTGATTTATTTGAACAATTTAAAACTGATTTATACAACAATTTTTTGGGGTCACATCTGTATGAAATATTTCTTGGAGACCTAGATGATAAATAAAATATATTAAATGTTCGTTTTGAACACTATTTCTTTAGTGTCGAATGAATAAATGGTGATATATTTTATATCGCCAATTTGAGAATTGTTAAATTAGGCTGAATGATTGAAAATCGATTTATGCAAGTTTTTTGAAGCCGCAATTTGCATCTGCAAAAATTTCTTTTCATGATTTTTGTGTTCTTTTATTCTAGATTTTTAAGTAATGCATTTTAGCTCAGCAACGTGCGTTCTATTTTAAGTTTTTCTTATGAAATTGTAACCTGTGAAACATTCTTCTGTCCAACAATAAATTGTATAGATACTGATATATTTTGAACTCCATATTCCATCAAATGTGAGATTGGTTGAAATACTGAAATGTTTTTCAATCGTTGTATATCAATTTAATGCAACTACTCATTCTTGTAAATATGCCTTGTTTTTTTCTCACTCTGTTTGAAATATATTTGAAATATTTTTTGAAATATATTAAATCTTAAAATGGGTGTTGTCTCTTTTCGCTGCATAATATTTAACGTGCGTTTTTAAACAATATCTTGGGAAATCGAATACTTCAGGATAATATGCCTAGCTTCACGCTTTACGGTACGTCATATTTTGAATTTTACTTGGTATAAGTGGATTCACATGATTTCATTTTGATTTATAATAATCATTTATTTATAATTTTACTGACTTTGTTAAATTCACTTATTGTTCTTGTGGTATGAATCTAGGTTCGATCGCATATTAGTTTCTATTATGTTGTTCCAATTCAGTATACATACCCAAACGTCAAATTAACCATCATCGTGTGTATGCCCCCTTCCTTCCACCGATAACTTTCACAAAATTAGCAGACTTGCGTGTGTTAAGTATGTTACCTTTGTGTTAATAGCTAATATTTAATGTAATAATCATCGAGCATCGACTCCCTTGAATACTTCCCTAACGTTGACTTATCAGCAAAATATCAACGGTACGTGACAACAGAAGTTTAGATTCCATTCAGACACTTTATCATTCAGACAAGTTTTCTGGTATGGTTGTAATCATTGAATAGTTTTTTAGGTTTTGCTAGAACTTTATCAGTTATTAGTGATCTTCCCGAAATTAAGTATACCGTAAATCGAATAACTCAATGATCATTTTGTCTCCCGGAGAGGTTTAATTTAGTTGCAATAATAAAAAATTTATCGCGTAAAAGCTGTGATACTTTTAAATGGCTGCTGGCGGTTAATTATATAAAATAATATGGTGTTTTTATAAGTAAAGCATTTTATTAGTCTGAAACACTATCAAAATATTGCAATGGTAAGATATACGAAGCAATTTTTGTGAAAATAATAAATGAGTCAGTCCGTTTGTTGGTGAGTCAAATAATTGAAAAATGTATTTTTTCTACAACTTAAACACCAAAGAAAATTTCGAATTTTATAATTGTCAATTCAGTTTTTTAAAATTACTGCTGCAATTACAATTGATTCATTTACTTATCTGTCCTTCACAGTTTTATCCTATTCCCCGGAGTGTATATTGCTTGGGTTAAAATAAATATCACATGACTTGAACAAATTAGCGCTGTCTCGTCCCACTTTATTTGGTTTGGTGCATTTGCCTTATTCCTATTTGCGCTTTTAGTATACACTGTTTTTGTCCATCTCACATTTTGAATGAACCAACTTTTTATAACTCACGTTTGACAAACTTTGCATAACAGTCTTTACGTAACATACCTTAACATAAATGCACCACATTGGCAGTCGATAATTTTTGTCTTTGCTTTTTAAGGAGAAAAACACTGGCTACTCTAGCCTACTATAGTAGAAGACCTTTGCATGTAGATCAGTGTTCCCCAAACTTTTTCTGCCTGCGCCCACTTGGACGACTTTTCACCTAGCAAACGCCCCCTGACAAAAAAGTCACAGCAACTCAATTCTCCGTTTATCATTAGTATAATGTGAAGGCTGAGCCTAGCGAAATGCCACCAGTTTGATAATATCTGGCTTCATTTCAGTCAAAAACAGTCTTAAGTCTCCTCGTCTGACACTGTCCAGGGAATATCTCTTGATATGTAAAAGTGCGGTCATTGCACTAAATACTCGCTCTACCAAGAATGAGCTGGCAAAAGCAAAAAAAAAACTTTTAACCCAATCTCACTCGTGAGGATACTTCAGCCTGCTGCTGTTCCTAAAAGAGGGATCATTGAACATGAGTTTGAAAGTATGAACCCAATGGTAGTGGTGCATTTTTGCTCCTGGAAATTCAGGGCTATCTAGGAAACGGAAACCAAAAATTTCTTTACTATCTCCAGTAAAATTATTTAATTTTATTTGCTTTTGAACTTCTGTCTGCTTATGATTATACTCAGCAAGATAAAGAAATGAAAGAGTCCAAACGGTGAATACAGAACATTTGTGCTGAGAAAACTCTGGACATTACTTGAGGGATTGCTAGAGGTGACCAGCAGTGGTTCAAGCATGACGTGGTGACACCCCCCCATACATCAAATCAGACCCTTGCTTTCCTGAGAGAGAAGTCAGCAGTGACATCCAGTGGGCACCTTAGTTATCGAACTAAGATTTTGATATGTAGGGAGTTCGAAGGACAATTTGTATCAGAACAATCATCAAACGATTGGTGAAGTGAAGGCTGCAATTGCGGAAATAAAATAGAGAAATACCCAAAGAAGGGTGATTGACAATGTTGCAAAAGTATGCAATTGTCGGGCATTTGGAACATATTCTAGGAACAACATAATTTTTGTGCGAAACGTCCCAGATTTACCGACACTTTTGGGTACAAACATACGCAAACATAAGTTTAAGTGTAAACAAAATTAAATATTTCACTCCATTTTCGTATAAGTAATCGAGAAATTGATGGTTTCGTTTTTGGGGACCACGCTGTATAATACTGTTTTTAATATAAATCGGTTAAATATGCTGCTTAAGTCAATGTATTCCATATTTTGAACTTACACAATACAAATGATAAACCAACATTAAACAATGTCAGACACAACATGATAGAACAACAGACTAGATCTTTACTTTTCGCCAATTTATGTATTACTTATGTAGCCTTATTATTCAATGACCCAAGAAATAAAAATGAACCAGTTAAGTCGCAACATGATGTGGTCCTATCTGACGTACGTCAGTTCAATCAGATGCCCAGCTCTCACGTGTTGCTCTTAACAAAACCAAAATTATAAAAGAAGGGTGTTGTACTTACACTATCGCTCCAAAGCATCATATAACCCGATAGTAAAATGAAGTTGTTATTCGAAACAGTACCATGCAACGTACAGCGCCGTATGCGCTATGTATAATTGTGAAACAAATAGGATTGGAAAAAGTCATAAGGATTTGTAAAAGTCATAATATTCTACGTTGAGTGAGAATTTCCCAACACCGAAATCACAGGAAAACTAGTTTGAATCAAAACTTAGGCTTATATAGCATAATATATCATACGAGTTCTCGTATTGATGTCAGCGCCCCCCCCCCCCAACTGCCCAGTCTGACAGCCAGCGCCCCCCCAATTGCCCAAATCGCCATCAGCCCCCCCCCCCCCCCCCCCCCCCTGATCTGAGGAAGTTAGACTATGATCTGACGAAAGGTCATAAATATACTTATTATTTTGTGTAAAGAGATTATGTTATTCATATAAAATTATTCCTCTGGGGATGTACTAGAGTATTGCGTACTGAATTGCAAGACCTTTCTTCTTGTTCACATTCTTTTGCCGATCCATATGTGTCAGTTGCCACAAGGATGCTTGAACGAGATAGTATTATGATGATAAATATGAATAAAATAATCTCATTCCACAAATTAGTAAGTTTATTTATGATCTTCTGTTAGATCATAGTCTAACTTCCCTCAAATAAAACAATCTGAGGAAGTTAGACTATGATCTGACGAAAGCTCATAAATAAACTTATTATTTTGTGGAAAGAGATTATGTTATTCATATAAACCTATTACTCTGAAATATTCTGAAACTTTTGGAGAAAATGTCGGACATGTTTGTATATGAATCTGCGTAATCTTTTTTATCGATTTGTGCCGTAAACAAGGATTTGCTGTGTAGCGCTGGTATATTATTACTTATCGATCTTAAGATCGGTAAGTATGTTGATAGGTATTTGTCTGTTTGTCTGTCTGTCTGTTAGATGCACGCAATATCTTACGAAAGCGAGGTTGAATATGCCTCAAATTTTGCATGTGCATTCATCATAGCTCGGACCAGAAGCCTATTGATTTTGGATGAATTATGTCGTATAATTAGCGAGGTAATAATCAATTAGTGATGGGACACGCGGTGTCACTATAGAGTCAGAGTGAATGAATGGGGATCCCATAACTTTCGATCGATAAGTCTTCGGTCTCCGACCGATGTTCTCGTTTATTTATTTCATACTGAATGTAAGGGATAGAAATTTTTTTTTATCACAACACTAACGCGGTATCCATTTCCTGTGGTATCAGACTACAAAATTTATTTTACATCACTGGTCATACTATTCGGGGAGGCTTTGTAGTTTTAGCATATTGATACTGTTGTGTGAAAGGTTGCTCAGAAATGAAAGAAATGTTTTTTGTCTGGTGTGCGATCAATTTTAATCAGCGTAACAAGCGAAGTAGAAAAGTTTAGATGTTAGTTGAACTGTGATAATTCTTTCATACAGCAATTTATTTTAGTATTTAGAATATATTAGAATTAATTTGGCCATATACACACGGCAAAGATTATGATGGAAATCGAAACAGTTTTGTTTTGTTTACATTTGGGTTGTATGTGTATGAAACGTGTATACAAACATATGAAACGGTTACACACAAGGAAATAGGAAACAAAATCATTATAGGTTGATATATTTAGAACAGATTGCGAGTCGCAAGACCTTATTCAAGTATGTTACTTACACGTAACAATATACATAATAAGATTTATAAGCATTTATTATTGAAACAGACTCAGTTTATTAACAGTGATTAATTCGGTGACGAATATGATTCTTATGTCACGCTAATGAAGTATCGCAAAATGATTTTGCACTTATTTTAATGGGTTAATGGGAGCAAGAAGGATTCTGATATTTGGAGTATAAGGTTGTTTCAGTACATGAGCTGTTCAATTCGTAAATTCCACTTCCTATTCACGAAAGAGAAGTTACGTTGTCGCAAACGATCAAACGAAATTGAAATTATACACTATACAAAAATTAAACAGTGGTGATACTGTAAAATGAAAACAAACCTTAACAAAGAAATAAAAAAATGAAATGTGGGTGAGACTACTTCAATTTTTATGATGAATTGCTTTCATCCGGTAATTGGTTAACGTATGTATATTTATTAAATATCTCGTTAAATAAGGAGAATATTTAATAAATTTGAAGATATAAGAAGAATTTAAATTATTATCTTGGTTATACTTTATAATATTGACATACCGTGTGATGGATTTAACCGACGTTTGACAACTTTTTTAATATTATTTATAATTCTAACTTGAGTGTTTTGGTATAATATTAGATCGTTAGATTTCATGTCAATATGGAAAATAAATGAATATTTTCTGAAAATTTCATATTTGAAATATGAAGTGACTTGTGGTGCAGTTTTCATAGCATCTGATTGTATGTTTACGCTTTCGTATATCTAGAGAAAAATATTTGAGATTACTGATTTTTTCATAAGTTTGATGAAGTTTTTAAGAAGCGGTATGAAGGTAAATCGTGGGGCTTGTAGCGTGTAGTTGCTGCACATTAATTGTTTTATTGGACTTACGGAGTTGTTCATGGCGGGCCTTTAAAATCAGTATGAAAATATTTTTTCATTTATATTTTGAATAACGGTTTGTACATGAAATATTACTCAATTGCTTCCGAAATGTTGGAGCGTCTAGATTGTTTGTGACGTCACTTTCAGGGGATATGATCGTATTTTTATGTATTCGCGCATGGACATTGAAGTGCATTTCTGATAAATTTGATGAAATTGTTCATGGCGGCGTTTACAAACTCTATAAGGGAATCTCAGCGTTTATGTTTAAAAATATTGTCGCCGTGCATCGAAGGTTATTTGGTTATAATAAACTTAATTTTATAATTTCGTGAAGTTGCGTGTAGCGTTGTTTTTTAAAATTATTGTGCAAAGAATTTTCCACCTAATTCAGTGAGATGATCAAATTATTTCGTTGGTATGTTCATGCTGTTTATACATGGAACTTGAATGATTCATTAGTACTCAATAAAATGAGGTTGGGAGCTTGGGAGCCGTGAATTCCACATGGTCCGTCATAATCACAACAACGCAACATCAGGAAAAATCTACGTTTCAATTCTCATTCAGTTTCAATCGACACGCATTTTCCTCTGATAGTAATAAAGAATGTTAAAAAACAGCAACACACAAAAACTCGACTGCCGTCCAAGTACCCCTGGAAATCTTCTCGTGAACCACTGAGAACCCCTGCTCTAGTTGGAGAAATAATCGCCTTTGTTGCCAATATCTTATTACTACTTTAAACCACTCATTGTTTTTAACATTCGCCGTATTCTATAATATCAAACTGTGATTCATGATGTGTGACAACTGACAAGTTATTTGATGTGCCAACCTGGGTAAAACTGAATTATAATTTGTTCTGGAATGTTTTTGAGTTAGATAAGGCTGATCTTAACGCTTTGGAAAAATATTTGGATCTTTTGTACCAAAGTCCTACAAAAACAAAAAAGCTAACGATCAAAATGAAAAAATTAGTAATTATCAAGTTAGGGTTAGGAATGCAGATTTCGGTTTAAATTCAAAAATTTCAATCATTCCCAACCCTAACTGGATAATTACTAATTTACTATTTAAAAACGTGGCGGTGGTGTTTCTCTCAAATATCACATTTTTGCATTAATTGTAGAGGCTTTGTACAAACTATCCAAATATTTTACCGGTTAGCAAGTCGGTGAAAATACTATTTACATTCTAGGAACTAGAATTGAGCTATCCAGTGAGCCACACATATCGTTTCACAGGGAGTTCCAAAATCGTTTAGAAACTCCCCGTAAGGAACCGTGGCTACTTTCTTTGTTTATTCTCTTTTTATATTGTATGACGCAACAAAGCCAATCGTGCGTAAAAATGAACGCATGTTCATTTATCAAGTTCAGCTCGCATTACGTGAGCGATACAGCAGATTGGTAAAGTGTATGAGTTGGCTGTATCCCAATAGATATTAATTTTTAGTTACAAGTTGGTAGCGTAGAGGGCTGATTATTTTGATTAGGTTGAATCTGTTATGTACATATAAATGTAAAGTTTGATGTTAATGCTCATTCGGTTGAAGACTAGGCCAGACAAATGTCTTGTTGTACGGTTTTAGTGCTGTCAGACTGTAGTAGTTCAGCTTGAGATACGGCAAACTTGATACATCAAGATGGTGAAATCGTCTTCGCAAATATTAAGCAAGTTAGATCGCTAGCAGAACTGACTCTGTTAGATTTAGAAGGTATATATTACAAGACCGAGGTGAAAATATGTTATTTTTTGATAAAAATCAATCTCAATGCTGCAACGAGTTGTGTTATATGGTTCAGTTTTAACTGTTCTCTAAACTGTTACCAGGTTGCTTAGCGCGAAGTTGTTGGGCCTCGAAGAAAAATGAAGGCATTGCCTTTCTTGAGCTATGGTCGCGCTTGAAATTCGAGTTCCTGAAGCATAAGAAACTGAGTCCGCGTTGATTAGGACTTGGTATCACATCAGGCAAGTGTCACGTAAATTATATTTGACGATTCAATGGATACTATGATACATTGAAAAAATTATTCGGTAAGATACTACTATCAGACTTTTATTCAAATATCGGTAGGATAATTATCAAAGGATTGGTACTTCTGAACCTACTCGGCCAATTCAAAAGAGTGTAACATATATTGTTGATCTGATATTGACTATATTCTCACAAATTATTCCTTGTCTTCGTGAAATGATCAACTTTGATCACTGTGTAGGACGTAGGTAATAGAATGGATTTTTTGGAGGCTCATTCGCCGTAAACGTATTACTCGTATTGGCGTCGCAATAGATAAATAGTGTATGCTTCAAGTTAGAGGTTATCAGGCAGAAACATATGAATTTAATAAATTGGTAAAAACAAGAATTACAAAGGAGTTTGTCGATATCTTTATAGTCATGTGACCAAATCAACTGTTTCAAAAAATCAGATGAAGAACCTTATAGACATAAAACTAAAAAAAAGGATCATACGTAATATATTCCATTACAGGGGCAATAATACACTTCAAACCAGAGTGGTATTTACCAAATTTAGATCAAATCCACTTTCCACTGTATGACCTTCGAATCATTTGGAATTCAAAAGATGTAGCAGTTCCAGCAGAATTCTAGCTATTTTTGTAGTATTGCGAGCTGTGTGATTCATGATTTGTGTGATATGTCGATGAATGGGGGAAATTCGCCGTCGTTTTTAATATTTATGGCAGTAGCATAATGACTTCATGAAATATGACATCAATAAATGTCATTCCTAACAATAAAATTCTTCGTTCGAACCCGGAAGTTTTCTCAACTCCGGAAATCAGTGATAAATTGCGACTTTTTTAGAAGTTTACTCATTGTAAGCACTCATATATATTTATGTATTTGGACATGCATAGATCCAGAGGGCTTTTAAAACTAGATACGTCAATTCCATTTAGCCTACGTATGATATTTCGCGGCCATTCACAAGAAATAACCGTTGTCATTTCATTTGCATTTTAATGTTATTTAATCAGAGTCTATCGTGTCCTGTGGTTTTTATATAAATGAATTCAATGCGAAGAGTGATTTGTAAATTTAAATATTACTCACGCACGCACACACACACACAAACATACAATCACGGAGACATAATAAAATTAGAATTTATCAATGTGCGATTTATCAATGGTTAACCATTCATTGCGGAAATAGCAAGGCCGCACTGAATTTTCCACATGACATAGGTGCAATTTTCCCCGGATATATTATTCACGCTATAGATTTTTTGTGTGAAATTGACCATGTGTTCGGATCAAAATGCGTGTCAAAATAGAGCGAGGTACGGTTTATGATAAGTTCTAAAATAAATGAACCTAATATCTGAATGACTTCACATTTTAATAGTGTCCTAGAAAAAACAGTTCGCGATTCACCAATGATGATACTCAAGTGAGTACTTTACAATAACTTCATTTTGGGACACGCTATTGTTTATCTTGATTCGTGACTAACAGAACACTGCTATAATTATATCGCTGATCTGCGCCGAGTTGCGAGGGGATTAACCAAGCTATCATGACAAAAGTATTGTAACAATAAACACAACTGTGGTCGTTTTTCTTCACAGATCAAATACCAGCACAAGTTTCAAAAGTATTTCCAATTTGTTTTGCGTTGCATTCTACATTATGTATATTTAGCTCGCTAACATTTATGTTTTATCTGATTTTTTCTAAGTTCGGTATTCGTTTTATTCATTTTAACAATTCTCTAGAATTTCCAGTTTCAATATTATACTTGTCACTAATTCATTAGTTCACTGGGTATATATAATCTAATTCTTAGATTTTATTGCAGAGATATCATGTTGGTTCTCACGGATCACCGTGTAATGCTTGAAACTACTCTATCTAACATCGTTATCTGGGACTAATTTTCTCCGAAGACTTTTTCTTCGGACAACCCTACTTGTTATTTTCGTTTGTGTTTTAGAAAAGAATCATTTAGATAAATATATATTCTCAAAACCAAAAACCTTCTGTTTTAAAGCATTTGGATTGATAATTCCGTTTAATAAGTTCTTGAAAAGAAATCATGGGAACGTCTTTCGGTATGTAATAAAGTAAAATAAATTCGATTGCTTCAATCTGTTGACTGTTAAATCATGGGAGGATGCACGACGTTATATGTTGGTAGATATGTAACAACAAATCCAATGACGTCAATAGGTCGGGTTGATAACAAATGACAGAAATCGGTGTGTATTGGTTTTACGGACGGAGTGACGCTGATTACTGAAATTTAGCGTTACAACAAGGGGGAGAAATTGTTCTGTTTATATTGATGTTTCTCTCAATACGATATAAGGGCCTACAATTCAGATCGTATTAGTACCTGGAATTATGAGTTAAAATTTAATATTTGCTGTTAACTAAGGTGCTTTTTCAAAAGAAAAAAGATCTTGTTTTAAACCAGATGTACCTTCGACAGCGTTCCAGAAGTGTATGTACCATCATGGAAGTAACTAGTTTTGTTCGCCTACTTTACATCAAGTTGAGTAAGGGGACTGACACATATGGACAAGTGGTATATTTACTTGGCTAAAACAGACAATCTCCGAACTCGTAATAGGAAAAATCGGAATAAAATTAAGGCCTAAACTTAACCAGTTTCACTCTACGGGAGTACCTGTTCGACTACGGGATAAATACGATTCTTATTCACGTCCTTTGTTCTACACAACAGCAACTGATGAACCCGGAATGTCTTAACGCTTTGACCGCTAGGCCATCCCGCTAGGTAACTTGAATTTTGAAGAACTTATTGTAAATTAATCAGTGCGCATTGTAGTCAGTCCTTATTTACTTAAAGAGAAATAAAATATAATAGACATATAAAATTGGAAACGAGCTTTTGTAGTATTTAGGGTCATTCGTTTACCGGTTTAATTACGTTTTCATTTGTGATGTCAGTTATAGCAAAGATAGTCAGTCATTCGGTATCAATTTAGGCCTCGTGTCTGTTTACCTTCTGACTTTTAAGTCACGTAATACGATTTTTCAGTGGTGCCCCAATTTTTTTTGTCCCTTTGTCCATTTTAGAACTCTTTATTCCTCCTTCTCTAGTAATCAAAAAACTACTTCATTTGTTCAATCTTTAGTTTTTTAGCAAGAGTTATACGCAAGTCAAGGTCCCGCTTTTGTGCAGTATAGGAAGTTTAAAATGTGTGCTTAAAGAAGTGTTACAGTAATAATAAAGTACTAAATTATATCAGCAACACTATAGCAATTACAAAGCAAAACTCTTCCAAAAACCACAAAAGTCCTTAATTCTTGATTCACAGTACTAACTTTCCTGAGACTGCAGAAGAAAATCCTCACAAAACGCTTTAAATCAAACGCTTTATTACGGATAAATATTGAAATGATAAAAAACAGACAGGCAAGTAGGAGAAGAAGATTCTCTATTCTATGAATAACAGCGATGTTCTTAGTGCTTAGTGTTCTTCTTAGTGCCAGGTCAGTCCATCAACTCGGAAATTTGGCATGAGTACATAGCGGTACATGAGTACATACAATATCATACTATAGATAGGGTTAAAACAGTCTCTCATACTTTAACAATTCAGTTAGTACGAGGAATTCAATTTTTGAATACTTTTAGTTGGTAATATTATTTTGGTATAATTTCAGGATAACATTGAATGTGTTTGTATATATGAAATGAGAGAGAGAGAATAGATATGTATTACATCAATATTTTGCATATTCGACACGAACTGGACGTATGGTCCATTTTATTTTAACACTCTATAGTTGTTTTGCTGATGTGCAGGTGGGGGTTTTGAAAAATCGTTTTTCCCCCTATATACCTATCGTTTTCAAATTTTCGGTACTCAAAGATAGGAGTCGCAAGAAAGCTGCGTAGCCTAATATTTCACCTGGAATTTTTGAATTTTGATACGTAATTGTATGCACGATGTTTTACAGTCTTTTCTAATGATTTTCGCCTAAGTGGTTTCGGTTTGAGATCAGAAGCCAAAACAATTTGTTTGTAACATTTTGTGTTAAGATTTGGAAGAATCTGTGCATTTACGCCTTTTAGGCTGCCTATATCCCTGCGGTAAGCCATTACTGCCAATGACCGAATCAACAGATAAAGCAGAAAGGTTGAAAGTACACAGCCTTCGTTTTAAAATCCACTTTAAAAAATAAGCACGTCTTTGATGCATATCACAACAGTCCATCATATTTGTTTATATGATTATAATACAATCCTCCCAATTTTCCTAATAACTGAAAAAAAAGAGACGTGAGGCCATGCATGTCAACGTATCATTAAACTGAAATTTTTGTTATATCATCACTTCAAAATTGTCGAAATTATTGGTAGTTACTTCAGTGAGGAATTGCAATTTAACTGTGATTTTTTCTGTATTCTCATTTTCATTTATGATGAATTTAATCAGGTCTTCGATAGTTTTCAAAGACTGTACATTTATGCTTATCACAAAATTTTACATACCAACATTGATCAAAAATTGAGGATTTCTGTTTTTTTTTCAATTAAGCGACACATTCCAAGCAACCCTATTTCAACCCAAAATGGTATTTCAAATCCTTTTTCAATCATTCTCGCCCACCATAGAAAATTTTACATACCGGTACTTACAATGACCAGAATTGTGGACTTTTTTTATAAAAATTTCAACATACTTTATAATTACTGAGTTTTGCTCAAAAAGTACCAATGATTTAAGGATTGCATTCTTATTTGAATAGAATTCCCCCGTATTGAAAATCGAACTTGTCTTGTGAATTTTTATTCGCTGGTTTACTGATTGAAATTGAATGGTGCTTTCCAGGACTTATGAATAAAAGAGTCGATCGAGGGTGATTTAGCTTTCTTTCCACTGTTCGGTGACTTGAAGATAGCATTGGAATAGTACAGTAAGCAGAAATGCATTTCAATTTATTTGCCTGAGAACCATTCAGTAGTTCTCCCGTTGCCAACGAATAAAAAGGAAAATAAAAATTGATATTCATGAAAAATGTGGATTTTTTTGTATAACTGTCAATAGCACGTATCAGACTTGTAAAATGCATTAAATCCTGAATTCTCTTAACAAAGTTATTTTCTGTTATGATAATATTGACATGAAGTATGCTCTTGAAAATTGTTTCTCGTGTAACACAACGAAAGAACTAATATTTGAATAATGCAGTAAAACAATAACAAATTGTTCTATTTCACATATTTATTTTGTATTCCTCTTCATTATAACACTTTTAAACAAATTGAAACAACAACCAATTTTATCTTCATTAAAGTGATTATCGGTGTAATTTGGAGATAATTACAAACGGGTTTAGTTTGCTTAAAACAATTTGAGTTGGAGAGAGAAATGCTTCTAATTGAGTCGTTTTAAATGATTATTACCAGATATCCAAAATACTTGCATAACATCGCGCTATAATTTTGCAAATGAAGCTATAGAATGTAAATGAAAGATGAAGTAGAACATGAGCTATGAACCAATGATAATCACCAACCTGCTGTGAACCAAACGAAGAATGTCGCTATTTATTTTGTTCCCTTCTTTTACCCATCTATGTTTCTCAAAAATACGTTTAAATTTCTTTTACAGAACAACGTTTCAATGAAGCATAATTCTTATTTTTCTTACATCCTACTTGCATTGTTTATGTATTTATGGAATTCGGTAGACGGAGAAGGTTAGTAATATTTTTCTTGGTCGTAAAGTTACCGTAGTTTGTTTGTAAACGTTATGGCTTGAAATCGGAATCCTGAAAGGTTTTATATATACCCAAATAGGTAAAAGTAGGATTGTGATGGTCTACTAAAAAGACTGGTGTCTTAGTCCAGAAACGATTTATTTGGCTATTTGTAATATTACGCGGGGTAGGACAAATTCCTTATCGCTTTTATTATCTCAATCCACCTTATTTATTCTCCATACCATAACATATTTATTTTACTTTACGCCCGTAATTAAGGAATGTTGCGATCCTTTATTTATTGTAATTGATATACATATCGTCACGCTAATAACCGAATTGCTTAAGTCATTTTTAGCAGTTTTGAGAAAAACGTAAAAAACTTCCTAATGATATTGTTATGCCATTGAGAGTCAATAATTTGCCATGGTTCAATTTTATGATCGTAGCCGGATTTAAGTTAATTTGTATGACGCAGCTAAGTGACGTCATAATGGCGCACTGTGACTCAGGCAGAAATGTGTATATGACTTGGGGACATACGCAATTTTGCAACTTTACTTTATGCACCAGTCCTGAAAACTAAACATTCCAAAAACGAATATAATTCTCATTATCTACAATGTATAATCCCCAAAATAGCTAATCAGTTTCAATTACATTATTTTTTATGTTTAAAAATATATATTTCATCAATATAACACGTTCTGCACTGCACACCCACCGAAATATGACTACGATTAAATATATAGAATAAAACAGCAATGCACCCAATATAAATCCCGCCAAGGTGAATTGGACTCGGACAGTAAATATCACAAGTGCACGTCTTCCTATACCAGGGATGGCGAACCTTTTTCAATGAATGGGTCAAAAAATTATATTTTCATCGCGGAACAGAAGAGAGTGGGTCACAGATATTTAATCAAGGTTTGTATCTATGAGAAACTTCTGAAAGAAATCTCATAAGCTTCTGATGTTCGTGGTGTAGTTTTGAGCTTTACTTATGCAGGACTTCTATCATGGACTTTTTATGGCACTCAATTTTATGAAATTAGAATAGGAAAACACGCATATGAATTACCAAAAACGTTTAGGATGACGCAGCAAATTATTTTACGGTTCCAAAGAGTTTGGAGGGAATTCCATTCTGATAGTGTTATATTTTTCGATCAGCTTTCAACCACATTAAAGCACTTTTACACTGCCCCCTTGTTATTTCAGATTTCTAGATTTTTATTTCAAGTCTGAAAGATTTTGTTTTCTCAACGGCATTGTGGGCGAGAAACTAATAAAATTCAAAGTAGCATCTAGTTCTCGTATAACCCATAAAATAGTCTGCAGATGCACTTCCTAAGAGACAAGAAGTTTCGAGAAATGTACATTTAATTGCCTTGTTATGTCATAAATAATGTCAGAGCCAATAGCTGAACGAGAATATCGGTCAGAGACCGAAGACTTATCGATCGAAAGTTAGGAGATTCCCCCAAAACACCGCTGTTACTCCATAGTGACACCTTGTGTCCCACCGCTAATTAATTAAGAACTCGCTAATTATACGACATAATTCGCCCAAAATCAATAGGCTTCTGGTCCGAGATAAGATGAATGCACATGCAAAATCTGGAGCAGATTCAATCTCACTTTCGTGAGATATCGCGTGCATCTAACAGACACACAGACAAATACCTATCAAAACACTTACCGATTAAAATCGATAAGTAATAACGATACACAGCGGTTTAGACATGCGTCCCAAACTAGAAGTTTTGAAAATTACCATCCCGGACTGGAAATTAACAATTTGCATATGGGCGATCGCAGCCCTGACCGCCCAACTGACGGTACATAATATTACATTAGTTATTGTTAGAATAATTTAAAGCCGTTTTTTTTTCAAATTTTATCACTGATATGTTAGTATTTTTTTTTATATATTAATCGTGCCTTGGTGGGTCACGAATAAAATGCGGTGGGTCACTTTGTGACCCACGGGTCAGTGGTTTGCCATCCCTGTCCTATACTGTAGTATAAATTCAAATTAATACGCGCTAAGCTAGAATCCGAAATGCAAAAACTCGAAAATACTTTGCCGAGGTAATTTTGCCTTTGTGACGTCACAATAGTCCTGCGGTAACAATGATAATTCATTATGACGAAACAATTGCACAAATGTGCATGTAATACTAAATCTCCATTTTTATGGGTTTCAGAATTCTTAAAATAAAATCTGAGGTAGCAGACAGGTGCGCAGCATTACATAAATACCCATTTTATAAAAAAAAATCAAAATCGCCAAAAATGACTTACGCAATTCGGTTATTAGCGTGACGATATGTATTTCCTTACATTTCATTGAATCGATTTTATCTTTTATTTTTGTTTATTTCTACATTTGCGCGCAAAATACTAAATGGTACGTACGCACAAATTTAAACACATCATCTGGCCAGTAATTTACTCAATGTTGAAAGCATGAATTTGCACCTCGTCTCGTGCACTGCAAAGAATGTCTACCTGTATGATATTTCACTAATATTAGTATTTAAATGCAGCGCGTTCTGTTTTTATGTGGAGATAATGCATTCTCAGTTACAAGTGTATTTATAATATCAAATTTCTACACTTTAAATATACTACGGGACAATCATCTAGCTTTGTTGTCCGCTAGAAATACGTAATTATGAAAGAATTGAATGATTGGTGACTGTAAGAATGAAATAAAGACTTATGTAAACAAGATTTGATGTTCTATTGCAGCTTTCAACGGAACATGTCAAAGCCAAAATTCAAAAACAAAGCAAGCGTACGTCAACTGGCCATTCAGCGTCAACTGTGATTATTTGAAATCTATTTGGGAAACGAAAACACATAATATTGATGATGATAATATTCAAGTGAGTATAAAATAAAACTTAATACCACACGGAGCAAGAATAGGCGTATCCAGGGGGTGACCCCCTCACCCCAACAAATAACTTTTTCGACGTACATATCTCGAAAAGCAATTTTGTGGCAATTGAAGTGAGGCACAAATTTGTATGGCTCTTCCAATACTATTTTGCTATATTCATGAGCGATTCACTGATAGTGATAACCCGACCTTTTTTGCTTTAAATACTGTCAATCCTTCCTGAAGCAAACCTACCGTGGTAGATTGAATTGCGCGCATGTATACCTGAGATAACATAAAGCGAAGTAAGTCTGTGTGAATCTTTCTGAAGATATCTGTGGCTGCCTATACCTAAACTTGTACGAAACGAAAAGCACAAATATTCGTCTTATAAAAGATAATTTTACAAAATTCAAACAGAAGATTTTCTTGAAAAGATTTCTATTTTGGAAATATTATAAACTTTTCGAATTTACTTTTATTTATAATCATAACTCAATCTTTTTTTGAACACGGCTTCCCTCGTCCAGTAAAATTGTTTGCTATCATTTTATTTTTCTGGCTGAAGAAATAAACTCGACTATGATTATGAATGTGTCTTCCAATATAATATTATATCAATATGTAATATTAGTAATGACATGGTATAGAAAATAAATGTGATAACACTCTCTGCGGAGTGAACAAAACCCACTTGTATGAGTAAATTAGAGATCGACTACGAAAAAGAAATTTGCAGTGATACAAAATTTAGAAATTATTATTTTGAAGAAACGCTGCATTAAGATCTTCGTCTATGTTGAAATCTAAATAGTAATAGTATTGTCGTATCACAATTTAATATAGAATGTATAAAATGATTCTCAGTGAATTATAAATTATAAACAAAGCTGATTGAATGCTTATTTCCATATGTTCATACTTTTTTGTTGCAGTGCATCATTACTCAGGGACACATTGAGATCAACGACACAATTCTAGAACTAGCATCACTTACTGATAACTCGAACTATACTGCTAAACTGGTAAGTTTAGGTTTTTTGATATATTTTTGGTTGCCCTATTATACAGAGGTGTTCATGTTCGTAAGCTTTTTTGAAGATCAAATTTTATTTAGTTAAGTTGTTGTAAACTGCTTTTCTGGGGAGGTTAATTTTTGGTCCGACGAAGCGTTACAGAAATACATTGGTGTTAGTGTGCAGCAGGACTCTTGAATTGCATCGCATATGCCAGGATATTTTTATTCCTGCTACAGCACATCATTTCATTATATGCATACGTATCCTCCAACGCAAAGGCATTGAGGAATGATTAGGAGTTAGTCTCGTGTAACCTCTACTGATAGTTTTATATATTTACCTAGTTTTTTTGTCTCATGATTATGATATTTTCTTTTACAATTTCTAGATTATCAATAACACTATTTGCTTGACAAATAAAGTACAAGTTGTTCTTCGACCTTTCCCGGAAATATGCAAGGTAGGGGTAAATAACGCCATCTCCCGTGAATCTACAATTGGGGATAGCGTGAATTTGAATTGCAGACGTGAGTATAGTTTCTTGAAAAATCGCTTGTATTAAAAATCCCTTATATGTTATTGTACTTGTAACACTGTAACGCTAAAGCATTTTCAACTAAATTTGCAATTGTACTTAAACTATACCTTAATATTTATGTTCTGTTACACGATTTATAAGCGTTAAAAATATGCTTGTTATAGTATCTCTGACTACCTTGCGCGGATTATCAGATTGCGTCTGAAGACAAATAACTGGCCAACTAATACCAAACCCGTCATATACTGGTATAAAAGGGATAAAAAGTGCTATCGTATCCTTATCCTTATATTGTTCGTATATATCTGTTATCAGCGGTTCCATTACATTTGAACCCGCGTACATTTGAACCCATGACAATTGCACCTGTATGCTATTGCACCTATGGAATTTTTTGTGTTTCACGGATAGTTAAACCCATACTAACCCTAACCCATGGGTTTTAGCACCCGCATATAGATTGAATCCGTGGATATACGCATGGGTTCAAATGTACATGGGTTCAAATGTACGGTCACCGTTATCAGCTTATAGCTTGCAAAACCTCTTTTAAAATATCGTATCACAGAGTCGAGGTGCATGCCAGCAAGCAATTTAGTCTAATTTCGTTTGTTCTGCATACGATAAAGGCTATCAAAGATAATTATTTACTCGTACAAAATTATTTTAATATAAAGCAAATAAACAGGTTACCTGCGACCTGCGACAGTTTACTCAGATAAAACATCATATTTTGCATCAATAGAGCCAGCTAAGAAGCCGGCTCCAAAATATATCCAGTGGCGGAATTATGGGGATTCGCACGCGTTTCTCGAATATCGTGATGATCTTTATATTTAGCGATTCATAAGTTATGTATTGTAAAGCACGTCATGTTAATGCAGCTGACGTAATGCGATACAGACATTTTTGGAAATAGGGGAACCTGTTGTAATGAATTCAATAAGAAGAGATCCCGTTCCAAATTTTGAATCCCTCCAATGACTGTTGTTAGAGAGTTCGATACAAAATGAATTTGTTTTTAAACATTTTGAATCACACCACTGATTATACCTGTTATTTGTCTTCTAATAAACAGCTCCAGAAGGCGATCCAGATATAATTCCAGCAGGAGCAGATCAATCTAAGTTCAAAACTAGATGGTACGTTAATTGTAAAGATGGAGATTATAGAACTAGTCAGCCATGGACTGAATTTCCGGACCCTGGATACCCGAATGGATTGAATGTGAGTAGAGTAATATTTTATATTTCTTCAGCTTATATTACTGAGAAGCTATTGTCAAATTATATAAAGCATTTGTTCCCAAACTGGTATGATTACCCCAAAAAGGGCAATTTGACATTTTATGAGTTATTCATACATACACTACATTAGCAATTTCTTATGTAATTCACGTCCTTTTTGCTGACCTGCAGAAAATCTGGTTTTGCAGTTTTGAGATCTAGTATATGACTATTGTTACGACTTAATGTAGTCGATCGCACGGTTAGCAAAGAAATGATACCAAAGCTTTCTTTTTGATTAAAACATTACCATTCTTCTCACTGAGATTAAATCAGGACATTGTTGTTGTTATTAAATTTGCAAAACTGCACACTTTAAAAATTCATTTTTTTTGAAAGGAATAATTGAGCTTATGGTTTTTCGATTTATGGGTAAGTTTTATTCGCTCAGTTTGGTGCTTTTCAAACATTGTTTACTGGTTAACGTTTCGTCCTGACATTCGTCAATTAATATTCATATCTCAGATGGAATTCAAGAGTAGTACTTATTTTTTACTTTGCTACATATATTATGGCACCGTACCAAGAAAACACTGAACACTGAAATATAAATTCGATATTTTTTTAGTTTCTCAATTCCAATTCTTTTTAAATGTTTATGTATTTTTTGTGACAAAATCAAGATGTTTTTATTTTTCCATATATTTTATAACGTCCAACGATTTTTTGTAATGTTCTATTTAATATGGGTAAATATCTAAAAGAATGCAGAATAGATTTCAATTCAATATACGTCTTCAAAAGGCAGGACGTACAAACAAGAAAATAGTCGTTTTGTGTTCAATAGAACTTCGGTGACAACATTTTGTATTTTTAGATGCCACGAGTTGATTTCTACGATGCCGCAAACTTTACATGTACAGTAACATACGAAGGAAAAATATTTTATGCTGTTACATACGCACAATGTATAAAACGTAAGTTAATTATTACAAAATTACATTTTTTTTACCTATTTTGTGCTCTTTGCAAGTGTACTTCCCTTCCCTCTTTTTTAGACTTCTTTCCGACCCAGCGTTTTTCTGCACATCCCGAACAAACGTTTCAGAGCCTAAATTCTTTGAATTAAAAGATTAAATTTATGCACGATTTCAAATTCAATAATATATTTATATAATACTAATTTAAATTCATCTTTTTGAACATTTCTGCGAAACGTTATATTTGATTACATAATTTGGAAAAACACCGCATAAGAATGCATTACTATCTGCTTCTGTACGATAATGAGTATTTGGAACAATATTACACAGCATTGTTATGTAGTCTCGAATAGTATGGAGCAAAATTTCAAAATTTATGAACGATTTCAAATTCATTAATATATTTATATAATACTTATTTAAAATTGTCTAATTTAAACATTTTTACGAAATATTCCGTTGTTCTAGATTCCGATTTTGAAACAACCTTTCACCTAATTATATGTGTTTCATATTTTAAAAAATGTCATATATACTCAATTGAAACTTTTATTAAAACTCTTGTTGAACCTTGAACTTTAGTATGATAATGTACATGTTTAAGTTGGTTGTAACCAGAGATACATTGAACCTTCTTCTCGTAAAGAACAAAGTTATTCACCTTGCTATATGTGATTCTAATATTCTAATTTTTACAGAGCGCACTGAGTCCATCAATCCTACAATCACCTGTGTCAATTATGAAACTAAAGCACTCGGTGATACTGCTGTACTTGATTGCGAAGGACAGATAGTATTGGGAAACACTCCGTCAAAACATTTTGCAGTCCTATGGCAAAGGGTATGTTGTTGTTTTTTCTCCTCTTTTAAATAAGTGGTTTCCAACCTTTTCGCTAAATTTCTTCTTTTGTCAATTACGAAACTTCCTTCAGTATATACCAAAATCTATTTTCGTTTGTTTTTCGATATTTGATATTATATTAGAAATTTAGGGGTGCATTCTGGGTTTTGTATAGTTTATTTAATTAGTGTTGGGTGAATAATTATCACAGTAATGTTCAATAAATAAAGAATATTATTATTACTACATTAAAAAAGCAATGTAATACACCTACTTCTTAAAAAATAAACTCATTGGGGCGATTTCTCCCCCAGTTGGAAACTCTGCTTGTGACTACTCCAGTAATTTAGCTACCTTTTCTCGTAGAAGATTAACAATTTGGAAGAGTATGCTCTTGTTTTTTTTTTACAAATTAGCATTGGAAGTATTATATTATGAAGAAGGTTACTATTAATAGTGATGAGATATCAATTGTTAGAACGGGTTCTTCTTTACATTGAACTAATTCAGAAAATGTTTGTATTTCACTACGTAAGCTAATTGATATGATACATTTTACACAAATCCAATACATTCCTTTCGAAACGTCATACATAACGCTAGTCATCAGCTGTGGTGCACTTGCCCATTATCTGCGGTCGTCCAACAAAAAAATTAAATTACAACATTCCAGGCTTCCGCGAATCCATCTATTGGTACTATAACTTTTATGTGTGTATCAATAGTATTCTGCCAATATAGTACTTAACTTCAACTAATTTTCATTTTAATATTCAGAACGGTGATACAATTTGCGAAAATAATTTTTTCAACCAGACAAGTTTTGGAGTCTTTGACCAAAGACAATCATGCATCGTGTAAGTAAATTTCCATATCCAGATCATATTTGTGAAGCTACATTTTGTCATTGGGCACGAAGTGGTCCTATGAATTGGTGTTGTTAGTATTCTTCTTCTTGGTATCCTTGTTGTTGTAGAAAAATATCTCCAACTACTCGACCAGTTGCAATTGAATTTTCATCTTTTTGTTGTCGCTAGAAGAACATTTATTTTAAATATTTCTGTGGGCTCTATGGTGTTTTCACTTTGACATCATTTTTCATATTGCTATGGCTGCTATTGTTACGTAGACCCACTGAAATAAAATAATATTGTGATGCATAATTGTTTCTTCCCAGCGAAAAAACTTCTAATTGCCAGCAATGCGTTTAGTGGTAATTTAACTGATACTTTCTATGTTGGCTCTATTTGTCATTTTAAGCTTTTCATATTAGGCCTCTTGAAATAGTTTACTATTAAAAACAGCTGGGCTTTAATTTATATAACCTTTAGGTAAATTACCATTAGTTGATTATATTTACCAGGGAAGGCAACAATGACTCTGTTGTTTGTGTCGTTGACGGTCAAAATACGAAGAATGAAGAAATACAACACGAAAGAAAGACAATCGGTATAAAACTCTATATTCGGTAAATACTATTCATAATTATATCATTTTTTCTTAATTTATTAAAAAAAAAAAAAAAAAAAAAAAAAACCTTTGGCATCAGATTAACTTCAAATTGTTAACTTCAACTTCGTTGTTTTCACGAAATTTATTCCAAATGATTCATTTCTTTTTTTTAACAACAGAGACCTGAAAAGCAACGATATGGGCCAATATACTGTCAACTTGGGTTATTTCGATATATCATCTAACTCGTGGAAGATGGATGAGTGGGTTGTCAAACTAAATGAAGACAATACGCCACGACTACTTCGACTCATCATGATTCTTAGTATATGCCTGGGTGTGCTGATATTCATTATAATGCTGGTCCTGCTTTATAAAAGATTTGAGATCTACATTCTTGTTGCGTACAAGAGATCATGGCTATGGAAATATGATAGAGGTAAATTCAACCGCTTTGTTCTCATTTTTTGTACTTTATTGAAAATGTTTTATAGAATATAATATTTTCTATATCGTCTTTGAGATATTTTAGCAGTGTTCCTCATTTTGATAGTAATAGAGATTTACACAATAGTCTCGTTAATCTACATAATATGATTTCGAACACTTTTTTATTGATTTGCCTGGAAGATGCGAAATCCTAAATCCTTAAACTAACTGGTCAATGTAACAATAAATAGGTTGTCTCGAAAGCGATTAAACAAGCTACTTTCTGTGAGCAATATTTTTACATCAAATGCGTGAGAATCTTATGAGTGTGAATCTCATAGACGCCTAAACTTTTCCTGTGAACCACAGGGTTCAGTGAACCCTAGCTAGCCCCCATAGTACGGAAAGTTTTTCTAATTTTTTTTAATAATTCATACCATCGGAGTCAATGTAACCATCTTCATAAACATTTTAGAGAAAGGTAATTTTGGATTGCTATCGAGATTAACAACTGAAAATAAAAAAAATAAAAATTGAAAATCTTATATAGTTTATGGCGTTTTTTGTACATATTTTTAAAATAAATTTGCAGTAGAAACTTCTGAATGAGACGCCACTTTCGCAGACCTAGTCACTATACATTATTTAAGTTTTGTCCAGTCTTTTCAAGTTAGATTATTTATTTGTCTTGACGTTAAGCTGTTATTGTTGAATCCCAATGAATTTGGATTAAGAATATTCAAATTCAATCAAATAAACGTACATTGATAAATGGTCGTAATGTAATTGATTATCGTCAAATTGTAACAACAGGGTTGGCGCTATATGTATATTTTTGACTGTAAATGTATATCGCGTTGCGAACCCCACTCAACTGTAATGGCAATTTATTAAACATCTATTTTATGTATTTCAACAGACGACAAGCAATATGTCTGCTATCTTTCATATCTATATGATACTGACACACTTTCTGATGAAAGTCTCAAATCCATCGTCGTATACGCTATTCACAACCTGTTGGAAGATTTGAATTATACATACTATGATGAACAAAGACAGATTGATTTTACAGGTAATATATTAATATTTCCATTACTTGTATATTAGTAATTTCATATTGGTTTTCTAATTTTATTCTAAAATATACTTAATTAGCGAACTTTTTTATTTGGAGTGGCTGATTGTTGCAGCGAGCTTAATGTGGATACAATACTAAAATGAGTTGTCAGTATTTTGAGCTCAGAATGGGAAGTTAGGTTTATGTTTGAAACGGTGCTCACATGGATGAAAATGCATAAAGTTTTTTTATTCTTGTCGCTGCGTCAAATCTTCCGCCTTCTGTCCGGTGTTATCATTACTGTAAGGCTATGCGACAAGCTGCATTCTCCTCTCTTATCTTTCCTACTAATCGTTTTGTGTGGTCAGCTTGATGTCTGAAGTTGGTTATATGGTCCATCAACAAAAATATTGCACACCCCTGCCTTATACATTAGTTTATGCAGCGTTTTATGTTTGGAATTTTTGCTAAAATTATCGAAAAAATCGACGTTAGTGCAAATCCAGAAACCAATTTTGTTTTTTCAGTTCAAGTTGAAAGAATCACAAACCTTGTAGAAAGATGTCACCGAATGGTTTTTGTCTTGACTCCTGAATATCTAAATGATCGCTGGATGAGATTTCACGCGGAATTGGTAAGTTTAAGATTTTTTATAAATTTTTATTATTTTTTGTCATTTATTTCAAGAAAACGCAAGACAAGGCTGGTAGAATTAATGTTCGATAGATCTGGTATGTGAATAGTTGACCGGGCATTTGCTCCAGTTTTACTTAAGCCGACGCTGACTCGGCAACGAGCTCCCGCAGCACAATCACAAAAAGTAGAAAGGTGATATTTACGCTGAACACGCTGCGCCAAGTGTAGACCATATTGTGATCACGGAACCCTCACAGTCGGATATAGTGCGTTTTTCAAGCTATTAACTATAACTTTTGGATAGAGTGCTACACTATTAGGCCTATTAGGGTTATTACTTTCATCAAATTTGCTGCACTCTAAATATTTTTCTGTCCTTATTAGGTTTGCGTTTATATACATTTATAACTTACATAATTCAAACAATAAAAAACGATTGTAATTCTGTTTGTTTCTGAATGTTTCATTGGGGTTGCACTTGAAGACCACTGCGTAGATATTAGTATAAGAATGATGCTCTCTAAAAAACATTCTAAGAACAAATGTCACAAACTTTCGATCGAAACCATTGTATTCATTATATCTTTGTTTCACAGGGTTTTCATGGACTTCTCGAGTCTCAAATGGGCCTGATATTTATTCTCACTCCGGGAACGAAGAGAGTGCTGAAGAAAATAGCAAGGACTGACAAAGTTTGGCAAAGGCTTTTGATTGCTATCAAGGTAATAAATTTCTCGATGTTTAAGAGTTTATTTCATGTGCTTATTACGATAAAGTTAATGGTTTTTTAAAAGTTAATATTTTTTTAGATCATTGAGTTATTTTAGATCAATTTAAAGTTAAAATAATTTAAATCTAACAATATTATAAAAAATGCCTCATAGTAAAAGCATTACAACGAATTTGAATTGATATTATTTAATGCGATACGTACTTCTACACCGCACGAAGTTTTTAGTGCACCGAATTTAAGCTCCACGTAACGCATTATAATTCTATTCCTGACATGGGCAAACTAACGCCCGCGATCCGAATCCGGCCCGTTGCGTAATTCAATCTGGCCCGCCGGATGATGCCACAACCAAACTGAAACCAAATAGTGATGTTTTACTTGAAATAATAGCTCAAGGAGTTTATTGAGATTGCGATTGAGTTTAGTTTGTTTAAATTAGCATATTGTTTTCCACTTTTGCTTTTGTAACACTGTAAGAATTTTTCATAAAATGTAACTTATTACGTCACACTTACATGGCCCGCCAGTCCAGGTGGATAACATTTTTGGCCAAAAACCTTCCCCACCCTCGGAGAGTCCTATATAGAATTATAGATTTAAATTGTTTATATTTATTATTCTTGAAGTTTAACAATATCACCACAGATGTAGTATCAACTCGTAATATTCTGCGTGCTAACAGCAAATAATTTTCAACAGACAAACCATGTTATAAAATGGAGAGAAGGAATGAACGAAGATCAGTTGAAGAGAAACATCGAATACAGACTTCCAAAACTTGCTCGAAGAATTAAAAAATTACCTGGTTCGGATTCGAGCTCGACTGATGGTTGTAATCCAGATTATACTAGATCTGTGAGCCAAACCACAACTCATACAACGGTGTCGGATGATGGGGCTGCAGAGGGTGACTTAAGACTGTGATGTGATTCTGAACATTCCATGTGAATTGCAAACATATATTTTTATTTACAATCTTCTAGCAAACTTGTATGAAAGGGAGGGTTGGGCATTTTCGAATACTTGATGATTTCAGATAAGAATCGAATCTCAAATACCCAAAGAATGTTTGAATTAATACAAAGACGTTATTATATGTCCTTCTTGTAATGGGTTTATACAGAAACAAAATAGCACTGAGAACATAGTATCTATCATTCAGTCTGTTCGCTGAGTTTTCACACAACCATGCGGGACTCACTTTGAAAATACAAAGAGCGCTGATAGCTATGAAAGAATTGGACATAGCAGCGATTGAAACCTACCGACGGGAGATTCACCTCAACCTTTGTTGAACAAAAATTAAACAAGATGGCGGAATTTGAATTTCGTCTGAGATGACTCTAATAATTCATTATTCAATTCGAAATCACCAGCCCTAATACAATGCAGACTGAACAAAGATTTTTATATGTTGACATTACATAACATGGTTGAAATTTGTTTATTATATGAGACTGAGTATTATCTTTATTATTATTTTAATTGAGAGTAAAAAAGCTTGGAAAAAGTTTTATTTCCGTAAAACATTTTCTGTACACCATCCTAATCTGTGAAGTATTTTTCAATTTAATTTCTCTCGCACGGTTTCAAAGACTTGATATTCACCATAACACATTGGCATTCCAAGGGACTTATTTTATTTAGGGTATACTTTGCTATACTGGTTAAGCCGGACTGATATTCAATAATTTCGCATTGTTTATTATAATACTGTTTTATCCTATTTTTTTCTTTTCTTTTTTCTATGAGACTGGGCACTCTAAATAAAATACTTAAGTGCTTTGCCCCCCAAAAAGCCTTAGTTTATTAGCTTGTATTGCATAGGTTCGATCACAGGTTTGGTGAAGTATCGCAAATATTAAATCATTGGTTACAAAGTATACCACAATTTGGTTCTGAAATTACTTGTTATCCGAAATTTAATCCCGTTCTGATTATTTGTTATATTTTATGCATTAGTTAAAATGTGAAAGCTTAAACGTTGATTATCGATTTGAAAGTTTTTTTTATTTACTGTGTTATTCAATATATTGCAGCCGCAAAACTTTGTGCGGCATCACTCGATTCTAGAAGCCATTGCAATAGTTTTAACTCTTTTTTATTATATGTTCTCTGAGGAACTACGCGATAAATGATTCATATTTACAGGGGGTGAGAAGCCGTTTTTCATTATATCAAATGCATAAATAATAATTTTCTCATTATTATGAAAGATTTTGATTTAATTTGAACAATTTAAAACTGATTTATACAACAATTTTTTGGGGTCACATCTGTATGAAATATTTCTTGGAGACCTAGATGATAAATAAAATATATTAAATGTTCGTTTTGAACACTATTTCTTTCGTGTCGAATGAATAAATGGTGATATATTTTATATCGCCAATTTGAGAAGTGTTAAATTAGGCTGAATGATTGAAAATCGATTTATGCAAGTTTTTTGAAGCCGCAATTTGCATCTGCAAAAATTTCTTTTCATGATTTTTGTGTTCTTTTATTCTAGACTTTTAAGTAATGCATTTTAGCTCAGCAACGTGCGTTTCATTTTAATTTTTGATTATGAAATTGTAACCTGTGAAACATTCTTCTGTCCAACAATAAATTGTATAGATACTGATATATTTTGAACTCCATATTCCATCAAATGTGAGATTGGTTGAAATACTGAAATGTTTTTCAATCGTTGTATATCAATTTAATGCAACTACTCATTCTTGTAAATATGCCTCGTTTTTTTCTCACTCTGTTTGAAATATATTTGAAATATTTTTTGAAATATATTAAATTTTAAAATGGGTGTTGTCTCTTTTCGCTGCAAAATATTTAACGTGCGTTTTTAAACAATATCTTGGGAATCGAATACTTCAGGATAATATGACTAGCCTCACGCTTTACGGTACGTCATATTTTGAATTTTACTTGGTATAAGTGGATTCACATGGTTTCATTTTAATTTATAAAAATAATTTATTTATAATTTTACTGACTTTGTTAAATTCACTTATTGTTCTCGTGGTATAAATCTAGGTTCAATCGCATATTAGTTTCTATTATGTTGTGCCAAATTCAGTACCCAAACGTCAAATTAACCATCATCATGTGTTTGCCTCCTTCCTTCCACCGATAACTTTCATAAAATTAGCAGACTTGTGTGTGTTAAGTATGTTACCTTTGTGGTAATAGCTAATATTCAATGTATTAATCATCGAATCCCTTGATTACTTCCCTAACGTTGACTTATCAGCAAAATATCAACGGTACGTGACAACAGAAGTTTAGATTCCATTCAGACACTTTATCATTTTGACAAATTTTCTGGTATGGTTGTAATCATTGAATAGTTTTTTAGGTTTTGCTAGAACTTTATCAGTTATTAGTGATCTTCCCGAAATTAAGTATACCGTAAATCAAATAACTCAATGATCATTTTGTCTCCCGGAGAGGTTTAATTTAGTTGCAATAATAAAAAATTAATCGCGTAAAAGCTGTGATACTTTTAAATGGCTGCTGGCGGTTAATTATATAAAATAATTTGGTGTTTTTATAAGTGAAGCATTTTATTAGTCTGAAACACTATCAAAATATTGCAATGGTAAGATATACGAAGCAATTTTTGTGAAAATAATAAATGAGTCAGTCCGTTCGTTGGTAAGTCAAATAATTGGAAAATGTATTTTTTCTACAACTTAAACACCAAAGAAAATTTCGAATTTTATAATTGTCAATTCAGTTTTTTAAAATTACTGCTGCAATTACAATTGATTCATTTACTTATCTGTCCTTCACAGTTTTATCCTATTCCCCGGAGTGTATATTGCTTGGGTTGAAATAAATTTCACATGACTTGAACAAATTAGCGCTGTCTCGTCCCACTTTATTTGGTTTGGTGCATTTGCCTTATTCCTATTTGCGCTTTTAGTATACACTGTTTTTGTCCATCTCACATTTTGAATGAACCAACTTTTTATAACTCACGTTTGACAAACTTTGCATAACAGTCTTTACGTAACATACCTTAACATAAATGCACCACATTGGCAGTCGATAATTTTTGTCTTTGCTTTTTAAGGAGAAAACACTGGCTACTCTAGCCTACTATAGTAGAAGACCTTTGCATGTAGATCAGTGTTCCCCAAACTTTTTCTGCCAGCGCCCCCTTGGACGACTTTTCACCTAGCAAACGCTTCCTGACAAAAAAGTCACAGCAACTCAATTCTCCGTTTATCATTAGTATAATGTGGAGGCTGAGCCTAGCGAAATGCCACCAGTTTGATAATATCTGGCTTCATTTCAGTCAAAAACAGTCTTAAGTCTCCTCGTCTGACACTGTCCAGGGAATATCTCTTGATATGTAAAAGTGCGGTCATTGCACTAAATACGCGCTCTACCGAGAATGAGCTGGCAAAAGCAAAAAAAAAACTTTTAACCCAATCTCACTCGTGAGGATACTTCAGCCTGCTGCTGTTCCTAAAAGAGGGATCATTGAACATGAGTTTGAAAGTATAAACCCAATGGTAGTGGTGCATTTTTGCTTCTGGAAATTCAGGGCTATCTAGGAAACGGAAACCAAAAATTTCTTTACTATCTCCAGTAAAATTATTTAATTTTATTTGCTTTTGAACTTTTGTCTGCTTATGATTATACTCAGCAAGATAAAGAAATGAAAGAGTCCAAACGGTGAATACAGAACATTTGTGCTGAGAAAAATCTGGACATTACTTGAGGGATTGCTAGAGGTGACCAGCAGTGGTTCAAGCATGACGTGGTGACACCCCCCCATACATCAAATCAGACCCTTGCTTTCCTGAGAGAGAAGTCAGCAGTGACATCCAGTGGGCACCTTAGTTATCGAACTAAGATTTTGATATGTAGGGAGTTCGAAGGACAATTTGTATCAGAACAATCATCAAACGATTGGTGAAGTGAAGGCTGCAATTGCGGAAATAAAATAGAGAAATACCCAAAGAAGGGTGATTGACAATGTTGCAAAAGTATGCAATTGTCGGGCATTTGGAACATATTCTAGGAACAACATAATTTTTGTGCGAAACGTCCCAGATTTACCGACACTTTTGGGTACAAACATACGCAAACATAAGTTCAAGTGTAAACAAAATTAAATATTTCACTCCATTTTCGTATAAGTAATCGAGAAATTGGTGGTTTCGTTTTTGGGGACCACGCTGTATAATACTGTTTTTAATATAAATCGGTTAAATATGCTGCTTAAGTCAATGTATTCCATATTTTTGAACTTACACAATACAAATGATAACCAACATTAAACAATGTCAGACACAACATGATAGAACAACAGACTATATCTTTACTTTTCGCCAATTTATGTATTACTTATGTAGCCTTATTATTCAATGACCCAAGAAATAAAAATGAACCAGTTAAGTCGCAACATGATGTGGTCCTATCTGACGTACGGCAGTTAAATCAGATGCCCAGCTCTCACGTGTTGCTCTTAACAAAACCAAAATTATAACATAAGGGTGTTGTACTTACACTATCGCTCCAAAGCATCATATAACCCGATAGTAAAATGAAGTTGTTATTCGAAACAGTACCATGCAACGTACAGCGCCATATGCGCTATGTATAATTGTGAAACAAATAGGATTTGAAAAAGTCATAAGGATTTGTAAAAGTCATAATATTCTACGTTGAGTGAGAAATTCCTAACACCGAAATCATAGGAAAACTAGTTTGAATCAAAACTTAGGCTTATATAGCATAATATATCATACGAGTTCTCGTATTGATGTCAGCGCCCCCCCAACTGCTCAGTCTGACAGCCAGCGCCCCCCAAATCGCCATCAGCCCCCAATGATCTGTGGAAGTTAGACTATGATCTGACGAAAGGTCATAAATATACATATTATTTTGTGTAAAGAGATTATGTTATTCATATAAACTTATTCCTCTGGGGGTGTACTAGAGTATTGCGTACTGAATTGCAAGACCTTTCTTCTTGTTCACATTCTTTTGCCGATCCATATGTGTCAGTTGCCACAAGGATGCTTGAACGAGATAGTATTATGATGATAAATATGAATAAAATAATCTCATTCCACAAATTAGTAAGTTTTTTTTATGAGCTTCTGTTAGATCATAGTCTAACTTCCCTCAAATAAAACAATCTGAGGAAGTTAGACTATGATCTGACGAAAGCTCATAAATAAACTTATTATTTTGTGGAAAGAGATTATGTTATTCATATAAACTTATTCCTCTGAAATATTCTGAAACTTTTGGAGAAAATGTCGGACATGTTTGTAAGTGAATCTGCGCAATCTTTTTTATCGATTTGTGCCGTAAACAAGGATTTGCTGTGTAGCGCTGTTATATTGTTACTTATCGATCTTAAGATCGGAGATATACGAAGAATAGAATATTCCACATAACAATGTAATAAATGATGTCATTGGATCAAGGAATTATTCGCTATTGTATTATATTCTCACGCATATTTTTTTAGGATTCTCTTGTAATTGAAAATTAATGACATACAAAAACAAGTGGAATAAGTTAAAATTTGAAACTAAACTCATCATAGCAGGTTGTTTTACAATGGTATATGATTATCCGATTGCGTTGCGCAGTATCAAAGATGTCAGTAAACATTAAAAAGTTTATAAATGACATTCCAAAACAGGTTACGCTCTAGTTCAGGGGATCTCAACCTTTTTTTTGTCAAGTACCCCCCGAGTCACGAAACAATCAACGCGAACTCCCGGTAATCAGACATCGAACAAACTTCGTGTTACAGTCCCTGAACGCACAGTTGAACCCCATGAGGGCGCTGTCGCTTGTATTATGACTCTGTGATATGTTGTGATTTTGTTTTTTTGTTAGTTTTGATTAATGTCGCTGACCTGATGACTGTCACAGTCTTTTGTTGCGACTACTTATCTATTGCTATGAATCTCTCACTTGTATCAATTCTTATGTGTATATTTACATTTGTTATGATTGTCATTATACACGTTTGTAAATTTCCGTGCTTTTGTGTTGATTCTTGCATGATAGAAATAAATCATCTGAATCTGTGATATATTGACTAACGATTTGTTGAAACAGCAATTTATTGACCAGATGTAACTAAATTAAATCTTCGTGTTGATATTATTGCCCTTGTCCTCCGCCCAACTAATGAATTCTTAAAATCTCCCCCAAGTTTTAATAGGCATAATCACTTTCTCCAATGATAGCAGTACGCTCTCGTAAAAGATTTCACAGTTTGGTTGCAAAGCCGTGAATTTCACATTGTTGCGCCATAATCGCAACAACGCAACATCAGGAAAAATCTACGATTCAATTGGCATTTAATTTTAATCGACACGCATTTTCCTCTGATAGTAATAAAGGATATTAAAAAACAGCAACACACAAAAACCCGACTGCCGTCCAAGTACCCCTGGAAATCTTCTCGTGAACCCCTGGGGATTCGCAAACCCCAGGTTGAGAACCCCTGCCCTAGTTGGAGAAATAATCGCCTTTGTTGCCAATATCTTATTACTACTTTAAACTACTCATTGTTTTTAACATTCGCCGTATTCTATAATATCAAACTGTGATTCATGATGTGTGACAACTGACAAGTTATTTAATGTGCGAACCTGGGTAAAACTGAATTATAATTTGTTCTGGAATGTTTTTGAGTTAGATAAGGCTGATCTTAACGCTTTGGAAAAATATTTGGATCTTTTGTACCAAAGTCCTACAAAAAAAAAAACAAAAAAAAAACGCTAACGATCAAAATGAAGAAATTAGTAATTATCAAG